TCATTAAAACTCGATTCAGTAAAAAGAATCAAATTTACCATCACTATAACTGAGCCAGAACCTTGATCAGAGAGGTGACCACAACCAAAACAATCACTCCAACACTTTCAGAGATGCAGGAACATACCAGGCCTTTACACACGGCATCCATATGGAACAAAAACCATAGACAAAGACTTACCCAGAATACTGGACTCTGTAGCTGCGGACTGGATGGATCACCGGTGGAAGTAATGCGAGCTGAAGGTCACCTTGGAACCCTGGAGCTTTCAGCACTGAGGAAATGCTCTTCCAACTTTTAGTTTACTTCAGTTTTTCTCTGTTTCCATCTGTGGAAACAGGAGTCTTGTCTTTTTTGCTGTGTTGAATTTCCAAAGTTAGCAGAGCCGCTTCCTGGTTGGGGAGGCTGTGTAGTAGCATCTAGATTTCTGTCACAAGTTTGCATTTATTATGTTGAAATTATTACCGTTTGTCAGCATCTGCACGATGCTGTTCTTCACTTGTTTCTTCTAAAATCGCTCTCATGCTGTACACGAGGACACTCAGTGGTAATTCTGCTGCTACACTTTACAGCTGAGTCTAAACGGAGTCGTCCTTTGCTTGTGAATGGATTTTATTCAGATTTTTGTTTGGACTGTCGGAAATCAGACCAAGGATGTTGCCCTTTTCTAAGCATTGCCTTCAACTAGCACACTTACTGTATTCACTTTTGTTCAGGACAGCCAGGAACAAGCGTTGAATTGGCAACATGTCCTTGGAACATAAAGGCTGTGAAAAGAAGATTTGAATGTGGAAAGAATCTTTTATGTGAAATATTTTTTATTAACAGATGCCCACACGCATTACTCATCACATTCAACACTAATGCAAATAATTCTCCATTCGAAGGATTTTCCTGGTTTTATAGAAATGAACAATAAATGCCACTGTTGGCTTGGAAACATGAAAAGTGCAAATGAAACGAAAGCCAACAACAAAACAAACATTTTCATTCTATGAAG